TTGGTAATTTGGCCTTATATCAATTATCCATAAATAATGTGACTTATTTTAATATGTACAGTAATTTTTCTGTGACCAACTAAAAAATGTTGGAGGCAAATTTTTGTGGCTCAGTTTGGGAAGCGATAGAATACAGCATTATTCTCTACAAAACAATACAAAATATTCTGTTAAAATTCACAATGCAAATAGCAAAAATAAGTAAATATTTATAGTTACTAGTGTTTTCAAATGAAAAAAATATATTATTTTTTCTTCCCTGATTTACTAATGAGTGAAGAGAACATTACAGTATTCCAAAGTAAAATTTATCATTCCTTTGTTTCTTTCAGGATCCAAGGATCCTCTAGAGATTTCACAGCAACCATAAACTGCTAAAAACATGTCCACCATATGGTGTTTGGAAATAACAATTATGACATAGCATACAGTCTGAGTATCTTTGAATTAACAAATAGCAGCACAGCATTTTGGGAGGTTTTCCACATTTCAAAACATACTGAACTTTGGTATTTAAGTTCGAAAAAAAAATTCTAAAAAATGTTATGAAAAAGTATGAAATAAGTTATCAATTTCTAATGATACACAGATCTACAATGCCATACAATTTGACTGTTTACAGGCTTTTTTATGAAAAAATTTTAAAATTTGATTACCACCAGCAAATTTAAATTAGGAATAAATTATAAAAGTATTATTTATAGTGCAATGCAACAGTAATTTGGATGAAAAATAATATCCAATTCAAAGCTAATAGAACAACAAACACTTTTTTCCTATCCATATGTCATTCTCCATATTATTTGAAAACACAGATAATATGGAGATTCCTAATATAGTTCTTGTAGTTTAATAGGCCAAACCCATTTCATGAAGTAAACAATTATATATTACATAAAATACCAATTTTATATATAAAATGGTAACAAAATTCATCATTTACATGCTAGACTACCAAGCTCCAGGGAGTTTACCTCTGACCCCACATACAGTACTGTAGTATCGGTTCATCATCAAAGGTGCAAAGGTTTCAACCCTCCCGATTCGATCGGGAGTCTCGACAATTTCCATGCTATCTCCCGGTCTCCCAAATTTGTTCAAGTTCTCTCGAATTTCAAAAACTATACACTAGGCTAGGCCTACTGTAGATCGTAAAAAACATGGAATTCGCATGGTTAAATACATGAAATTACTAGGCCAAATGGATGAAAAACATTTATACACCTCTCGAAAGACATTTATGCTATCAGAATATTTCGACGGTGAGGGTGCTTTTCACTAATTGGTGCAAATGGGGGCGCCCTTCAACTGCAAATTCTCCCTTCTACCGATTTTTCTGGTCTACAGGGGTTGGAACGTCTGAAAGTGCCTCAATGGCTTGTGGCCGCTTCAACTATAATAATAGACTACTAGGCCTTGTGATTTAAGGCGCACCATCGCGCACCTAAATTCCTCTCCAGTTGAGTGAAAAATAGCTCACAAAGAATTTGAAAATCTTGCACCAATATAGCAGGCCTATTTTAATAGAAATCCCAACTATATTTTATCTTTATTTTCAAAAGCATTTGGTTACTTCCGAGCTAAAGAAATAGCCAATATCATGGGTCATTATACTTTTCTGTGTACAATGTACAAACTTCTACACAACAAATAAACAGTTAATAAACGATTTCTGGGCGAAATAATAACACAATTATATTGCTGTCTAGGAATTAACAACTAGGCTTACTGTAGCACAACACCCTGTGAATAAACTGCTTTCGCTGTCCCGATAGCTTTGCCAGAGATTATTGCTTTAAAATGACACACCAGTAAATGTTAAAGTTTAGATGGTTAGATCAAGTGAAAGTTACGCCTTTCATTGTTTAATAAAGTGAATTATCGCCTCCTTAAAATCGATTGGAATCAACCTGAAATGAAGACGGAACTCAAGTTTCAAGCAAGTTTCTAGGATGGCTGACTATCTTTCAGCTGACATTTATTCGGATTTAGATGTCGTTACATTCATCAGTGTAAATTACAAATGCATAGCTTCACTTATTCTTAAAACAAGACACTTTTCAGTTCAACATGTTGCCAATATAATTACGGAGGAAATTAGTAAGAAATAAAATTTTAATTTGTTAGATTTAGTTACTATATAAATTATAGACAATACACTGAGCTTGCATCAGCAAGCTGTCACGCACTATGAAACTTTTGGCGATCACATCACAGCCAAGCACATGTTTGCACATGACCACACGAAAAAAAATTAACCAATTTGCTGGCAGAGTTTAGAAGGCATGACCTGATGTCTGATGTTGACAACAACTGACCAGCAAGTGGATTTGTGACTACGAAGAGTGTTCTGTGTTTAAGGAAAAAAAATATCAGACTGAAAATGCACGTAAAAACAATATAAAAGCATTCATTTTTATTGGTAATTAAATTTGGTGTGCAGTAGAGTTACAGCAAAACAACAGATACTGTACATACTGAAATTTTAACTTTTCGTAGGCTTGTAGGAAATTGCTACATCTTATTTCAGCGGCTAGGCCCTAGCTGGCCTACAACAGACTTGTTCGGGAAGGGTTTAATAGATATCTTCCACTAACTGGACTTTCCGGAAGTCTGAATGTCGTAACTGGTCCCGAGGGGGAGGGGGGTGTGGGTGTTGGTATTGGGAGAGTGCACTTTATTATTTCTCTACATGTAAATATTGGATGTTAAATTTGATGTCCTGTTGACTCTAGTTGGTGCACAGGATAGCAATTGAAATGTTCACCTACAGTATTCCCTCGTCCCCCTACCTCGCGCCATCCCGCAAAACAATTGCTCGCCTGAACAAATCATGGTGAGTGTGGTGAGTGTTTTATTGCTCGTCTGCCATTTTCAAATCACAAAGCCTGGACTACTATACTGACCTGGTTTGCATTTTCCTACATGGAGAGCATGCAATACATAGACAAGTCTGCCGAACTATTGATCATTGTGGATTTCGCTTCATATCCTACAACTCTAAAGCAAATCATGAATAAAAATGCTAGGTCTGTTATTTACAATAGGCCTAGTTGTCATGGCAAGGGCAATGATTTCTTAATCTGGAATTGGATTACTTAAATATACACTTGTGTAATTCAAATATTGACTTTTTTGTACAAGTTTGTTTTGCTCAATTCATGTGGTATTATTGTAACTAATTTGTACAATTCAGCTGAATACAGTGTATTCTTCAATATGGTTCTAGGCAGTATCTAAGACTACTGTATAGCCATTTAAATTCATGTTTTTTCTTTGTTGAACTGTAGGCCTATGTTTAGAACAGCAATAAACAAATTTGATAATTACCAAAGGACAATAAAACACAAAATGGCAGCAACAACTACCAAAATGGCAAAAAGTACAGTATATAAACTGCTACTACTAACTACTTAAAAAAGGGGCAGCTTACAGTATGAAATGACAAGAAATTGCCAATGTTATTTTTTGTTTATCTTGATCCTGATAGTGGCCCTCTGTCGTCTATGGAAAATATCTATGGAAACTATTTCTATCTTCATTTTGTACAGTAGGCCCATATTCTTAATTGTACAGTAAAGTCATAATTAAACTGACAATGATAGTGAAAACAGGAGGCAGACACTCATAAAGATTTCCTTATCTTAACGCAACAGTCATAATGACCTTAATATCAGTTTCAATAAGGCACTTTATGGCCATTCCAGACAGCATCATATGACACAGCCCAACACAAGTTATTGTCGGTTTTCGTAAGAACATTTTACGCGACTATCCCCTGGCTGCATCATATGACGCTGTCCGAGTTTATGTGTTCAGGGTCCTACATTAGCAGGAACAACTTCCAGAGATAAGCTACAGTTTAGTATAATTAGGAAGCTTTTGATTTGTTTGACGATGCAACGCAAGAACAGAATCACTCATGCGTGACCGTCCTACGTTCTCTGCATATGTAGATTTGGCAAAATTGCGTCATAGAATCCACGGGACGAGGAGAAATTAACGTTCCCGCATGCGCAGAAGACTTTTTGTGCAATCAAACCCCCCCCAACTCAACTACAGTAATGGGTCTTTCCGCTAAGTCTGTCCCTTGAATCTTTTTACAGGTCCCACAAAACAATAGCGTAAATGTACAGAAACATGTGCACTTGTTAGACAACACACATCTTTGTAAGACATGTGCATATTCCTGGATTAAGCAGTTCTGAATGGTCAGTTGTTAAGTTTGATTGACACCTCAGACAGGATACATTATATTTTTCTTTGTTTGGTGTCAAATTATTAACTACAAAGGAAGAATAAATAACACAGCAAAAATCGTAAGTTAGTATGAGATGGATTACAGTTTTAGGGAGATTTTTACTTGGTTGCATGAGTATGAATGTCTGTGTTGATTTCCGGCAACTCTTGTAACTTGAGGGAGATTTTTATTGACACCTTTCTTTGGAAGAGTACTGTAAATACTGAAGGCCCTATGTCACTGTTGTACATTCTCTTGCAGTCTTGTGTTTTAGAATTTACCACTAGAATCACGACTTGTTCAACATGGGACATAGTAGTTGAACTCAAAATTCATACATTAAGTACATTATACCATATTTTTAATACTGTACATTGTATGTAAATGCCATTTTATGCATAATTACTTAACAACTTCATCCATCATGAAAATAGGTTTTTTTTCAATCAAATTTTTTTATTTTTTAGGAGATTCCCAATACATTCATGTGCATTACGGTATCAATAACTTAACACATTTAACTCAGTCAAGGAGTTCCTTCAACAGTCGGACACAGCATATATTTGTATGTAAGCTAAGAAGAAGACTGCCTCTGCCTGGGATGTGACTGGCATCAGTGAGTGGGAGGAAAAAACAGAATTGAAACTGATTGTCCACCTTTAAAATTTATATAAAAGCTGGATAACCTTAAAACAAAACCAAGACAATCCTTACTGCCTTGAACAGATCTAGTATACCCTGGTTCTAGCCTGCTACTTACTTTCTGTCTGGCACTGCCAACGATATTTGAATGTCTATCGAAAACTTGACAGCGAACAGTTGTTGTACCAAAATCAACTCCTAAAACGTAAACATCCCCCGTATTTGTCCGTTCTTCTTCTTCATGTAATAACTTGATAGTTCCGATAATGCCATTGTCATTGACATATCCATTCGAATTCATGATTTTATGAATAAAGTGTAGGCCTACGTTTAGTCGTAAGTCGAGTACAGACAGTCGATATTCCTCCAGCACTCACACTGTCAGTGATGTATCAAATCCCTCTGCGTATTGTTCAATTAAGGAGGCCTGGGCCTACGATTTTGGAAGTGACTAGGCCTACCAGGTATGTAATTAGCACCTACTATTAACATTGATGTATGGCCTTAATGGAGTTTGGCCTATCGACAACTCTGATTATGTCCTAAAAAGAGATACCATTGTTGCGGATTGAAATTATCAGACGAAAAAACACCGCCAATGATAACATTGACAAAACGTAGGTTGACAACGCTGTATAATCTCTCAGCTCCGTTTTGTTGTTAGTCAATATATGATAATTCACGTGCTGTTTTTATGCATGATCGCGTTGACCAGGCCGGCCTATCCTCACTCTCTACCAATCTTGATTGGATACGACGTGGGGGGCGTGCACACCGTCCACCGGAACTGATTACTAATTATTGTCCATTTTCCCGCGAACTTCGAAGTGTATCTGCCTGGATATTTCGTAAGTAAAGTAGCCTACATTAGGCCTTCTCCCAGTTTGATTAACTGCAACCATAATAATTATTAATATTACCACTTGAATTGGTTCATGATTAACATTATTTTAATAAATAGGCCTACCTTTAACCAGTGAATTATGAGTTGAATTTACATAGGCCTAGGCTTACGCTTTGAGCCTTAGACTAGGCCTAGGCCTAGATAGAGCGAATTCGATCCAACTCGGCCACAAGTCAACTCGGCCACAGTCAACTCGCCCACAAGTCAACTCGGCCACAGAAAGTTTGGCTACAGTCAACTCGGCCACAAGTCAACTCGGTCACAAGTCAACTCGGTCACAAGTCATCTCGGCCACAAATCAACTCGGCCACAAGTCATTTACTGGTACTACATTGTACTAATTATTATTATTGCTGTTATTATTGTTGTCATTGTTGTTATTATTATTGTTGTTTTTATTACCGTTAGTTTTAATATTAATTATTAGTCTTAGCATTAACATTATATATTGTTCAAATTTTTGCTGATATTATTATTATTACATATATATATAGTACATATATTTATAGTACCATATAAATAATAAATAATTTTCGATTTTTTATTATTATTACTCATATTATTATTATTATTATTTATTAGTCTTAGTATTATAATTTTAATAATAGTAATTTAAAAAGTTGTTGTTATTGGCGTTTTATTAGTATTTTTCTCATATTATTAATATTATTGTTGTTGCTGTCACCTTTATTATCGATATTATTACCCTATTACTACTAAGTAGGCCTAGTATTATAAGTATTATTATTATTACTAATTAATATTACTATTATTATAAAAATAAACATTATCTTTAATTTATTATTGTTGTATTATTGCTATTATCACCTTCAAAATCGTTATTATCACTAATTAGTTATTAAAATTGATATTTAAATATCGTTATTATTACCATACTAGTATTATTACTATTTGTTAAAATAAATATTACTATTAATGTTGTTGTTGTTATTATCACATTTAATGACTAATTAGTATTATTAATGTAAATCTTACTAATTTATTGTCGTTATTGTTGTTTAATATTATTGTTGAAGTAGAATGAGTAAACAGAAGACAAACACATTAATAAATAACTCTTTTTAATTCATAGGCAATAGCATTCAAATCTCTTTTGGTAGTGTGGTGGTCCTGTTTTACTAAAACATACTGTGTACTTTATTTCAATCATATATTGAAGAAAAAGGATGCAAAAACATAGATTTACATTACATAACTTGTGGCCGAGTTGACTTGTGGCCGAGTTGATTTGTGGCCGAGTTGACTTGTGGCCGAGTTGACTTGTGGCCGAGTTGGCAGAAGCGGAAATTTTTGTGGCCGAGTTGACTTGTGGCCGAGTTGACTGTGGCCGAGTTGACTGTGGCCGAGTTGACTTGTGGCCGAGTTGACCTGCACCCCCTAGAGCTACACAATCAAGCTCAGGGCCTCATCAAGCTATCGTCTGCCTAGGCTAGAGAGGCAAGGAAGCCTTGACTAGGCCTAGGGAAAATAGATTAGTATGTATAGGCCCTGTCTAGCCTAGAGAGAGCATGCAGCTAAGCAATTATGGTTAGAAACAACACAACTTCCTGGGCCTTCATAAGTTTGTGGTGGTTGTTTATTATTAATTATTAATGGTTATTGCTAGGCCCTACCTAGGCCTAACTGACTGATGTAGGCCTAGTTCTAGGCCTATGTGCGAATAAATAATAAATGTGAAGCTCTTTTTTTAGATTGGTCCTGGACCTCTCATTGATGGTCTATTTAAAAAAACAAAACTATCTGTCTTTTGGATAGAAGATACGTTGGCTCTGCTGTGTCCATAACGCCATGCCATACAGTTTAATATTATACTCTTCACTGTGATAATAGGCCTCATGACTGAAAATTATTAATCATTAGTTTACTGAGTGGTGATTTGTTTTTATATTGGATACTAAAAGAATAAATTATGAATGATATAGCGAAGCCTTTTTTCTGTCAATTATGTTTACAGGTTGAGGCCTGCTAGGCCTTTAACCTGTCTCTTATACACATCTAGATGTGTATAAGAGACAGCATTGATGTATGGCCTTAATGGAGTTTGGCCTATCGACAACTCTGATTATTTCCTAAAAAGAGATACCATTGTTGCGGATTGAAATTATCAGACGAAAAAACACCGTCAATGATAACATTGACAAAACGTAGGTTGACAACGCTGTATAATCTCTCAGCTCCGTTTTGTTGTTAGTCAATATATGATAATTCACGTGCTCTTTTTATGCATGATCGCGTTGACCAGGCCGGCCTATCCTCGCTCTCTACCAATCTTGATTGGATACGACGTGGGGGGCGTGCACACCGTCCACCGGAACTGATTACTAATTATTGTCCATTTTCCCGCGAACTTCGAAGTGTATCTGCCTGGATATTTCGTAAGTAGCCTACATTAGGCCTTCTCCTAGTTTGATTAACTGCAACCATAATAATTATTAATATTACCACTTGAATTGGTTCATGATTAAACATTATTTTAATAAATAGGCCTACCTTAATTTTAAATCAGTGAATTATGAGTTGAATTTACATAGGCCTAGGCCTAGGCTTACGCTTTGGGCCTTAGACTAGAGCTACACAATCAAGCTCAAAGCCTCATCAAGCTATCGTCTGCCTAGGCTAGAGAGGCAAGGAAGCCTTGACTAGGCCTAGGGAAAATAGATTAGTATGTATAGGCCCTGTCTAGCCTAGAGAGAGCAGCTAAGCAATTATGGTTAGAAACAACACAACTTCCTGGGCCTTCATAAGTTTGTGGTGGTTGTTTATTATTAATTATTAATGGTTATTGCTAGGCCCTACCTAGCTAGGCCTAACTGACTGATGTAGGCCTAGTTCTAGGCCTATGTGCGAATAAATAATAAATGTGAAGCTCTTTTTTTAGATTGGTCCTGGACCTCTCATTGATGGTCTATTTAAAAAAACAAAACTATCTGTCTTTTGGATAGAAGATACGTTGGCTCTGCTGTGTCCATAACGCCATGCCATACAGTTTAATATTATACTCTTCACTGTGATAATAGGCCTCATGACTGAAAATTATTAATCATTAGTTTACTGAGTGGTGATTTGTTTTTATATTGGATACTAAAAGAATAAATTATGAATGATATAGCGAAGCCTTTTTTCTGTCAATTATGTTTACAGGTTGAGGCATTCAACATGAGTAAACGCAAAGTGGATGAAGCTGAGACTACATGTGGCACATGGCTAACTACAAGGAATAAGAAACAGGTAAAGATGTGGTTGCTGCTGTAAGTAATATCACTAGGAAGCCAGCATGGAAAGTAGGGCTTGCGCCAATAATAAGTCCCCCAATAAGTCCCCCTCACACACAAAAATTTAAGTCTAAAATTCTCTTTAAAAGTAAGGGACAATTTCTGCAAACATTATTGCAGAAATAGGGTCTAGGCCTCAGTGGTGTAACACTGGGGCTGGGGGCCCTGTGGCTTTTCGAGTCTGAAAGCCCTTTTTCGGCCAGTTCCATTGTGACGAAAAAAAAATGATATATCAGTGGCAGATTTAGTAGGAATTTGAAAGAGAGGAGGCCAGGGAGGCAGTGGTGGATTTAGGAAGAGGGGCGAGCCGGCCCCCTTTCGGAAAGTAAAAAAAAAAAAGAAGAAAATAGAAGAAAGAAAAAGAAATTATTGATCGCCCAAAATGTCTCAGAGGATATTTCCGGGTTTCTAGAAAACAAAATTTTCGGACCTGTATTCGCCCCTTGGAGGGTCGTTGTGATGGCCGGAAATTTTTTACAGTACCTCCATTTGTTTTTTACAAATTTAGGGGGCTGTCACTGGATATGATATATTATATGTCCTGCAGTCAATGTCAGAGACACATTATGTCAAAACACATGATGTCAGAGGCACATTACCCTCTGGTTTGGGGCGCCTTTGCGACCCCTAGGAGTCAGTTGCCAAGCAGACCGCCACACGAGATGGAACAGGCGTTACGCCACTGCTAGGCCTTTAACTCAATACTGTATATCACTATGTTTGGTTAATGGTTTTTAATTTATGAAGCGCAAAATAACAAAAGTCTCTATCCCCTGTAAAAACAAGTGTAGAGATGTTTGGAAATGTGAAAGAATAAAAAAATAAAGATGAAAGTGCAAATCCAACACCAAAAAACGCAGTATATGATACGCCCTCATCGCTAACCAGGGATTGATCTAAGTGAACCCTGGGCAGCACCTGTTGAGTCTCAGACATTGGTGCCTCAAATCCTACTTAAAGCTAATAAAACTCACTGGCATGGAAATAAAATAGTGACGTACTGTATAATAAAATTAATAAAAAAACAAACAAGTCTTCAATCAAGCTTTAAAGTGACTGAAGAAAATTCTGGCATTGGAGACATCAGACCCCTGCCTGGGATCCGATGTCCCCCAACATGAAAAAGTGGGCGTGGTCAGGCAATTTCTCCAAATATTTCAAAACTGGTCCAGGGGAGGCCAAGCCACTTAAAAAATATGACAATTTGGGGTTTAAAAGACTTATTTAACTGATTTTTACAGTCTACTGTACTAATATGTAGAAAATATGGAGCCACCCCCACTTTATCCACCTTGAAAATTCAATATTTTACAAAGTGGTTATGAGGTGTGCAGAATTTGTTGAACTTGAGTTTCTATTAGAACAGTAAGTTGCTTTTAGCATTTTTCTCACTGTGCTTCCAATTAATGTTCGGGCAGTTGTAACAGCCACTTTGTGAGAAGTTCTAATTGTCTTGCTTTGACTCTGTAGGATCAAATATGTGCCAAAAAAAGTATTAAAGGTCAAGTGTGCAAGTTAGTTTAAGTGTAATTAATCCTAAATTTTTAAAAGAATTAAGGATTTAACATAAAAAAGCTTAATTTGATTTGAAAGATTACATGAGGGTTTGAAGTAACAATAGTATGTTGGGTTGGATTAGATTGCACAAAAACGGACTGAATATTATTAGAGGAAATTACAGGCAATGAACAGATTAACATTTGTATAAAGTCATACGTAGACTGCATATTCAAGTGTTACCAACTTGTGAATAGAACAACAATCATGGAAACGTAGCTTTCCAATGGATTAATCTACCACATGAAAACTTGAATGTATTTAAATGAAATAGATTAACCGTAATTTTGCATTTTACAATTTAAATTCCATTTTCTTTATTGATTTATCTCATTTTATTGAACTATTTGATTCCTGTATAATATAATACAGGGGTGGGGCTGGATTTGGTCTGGGAGTGGGTGTGCGAAACGGCCGGGGGTTTTGTAAAAATTGAGAGTGCAGAACTAAATCCCTACTCCAATAAAAACTTAATGGATCATTTTTAGTATTTTTAAACCCAATTTAATTTGCATCCGCACCCCTCTCCCTACCTATGCCATGTATGATACAACCCAACAACCCCATAAGGGGTTCACATAGGTAAGCTTGGAAAATGCACAATAAAAGGTATGGAGGGCAAAACAAAAGGAATTAAAGATAATAACTTTTTTTTTGTGAAAATTCCAAACAAACCACTAACAAGACCAATTTAACTCTTGGCACCGTACTACCTCACATTTCGTCATGAATATCATTTAAAAGTGTACTTAATCTATTTTCACTATCTTCTTCCTATGATACACGTTTAAAGGATTTGAAGGAGTTTGAATCAAATATGCAACGGTTGTCGCAGCGACGGTTCAAGCTCCTAAGACTTTCTAAACGACCAGTTGGCATGGTGACAGCTGTTAAGCAGAGTAAACTCTCAGATTTTTTCCCAAATTTTAATTCCGGAAAGGAAAACAGCTGCACCCATCACTGTGAGTCTCTACTTAATTTTACATAAGATACTTATTTCCCTTTCTCATCTGCATTTATAGTCCTATTTTTTCAGGCCACAAATTTATAGTCAGTAATCTACAGTACTGTAGGCCAAGGCTTACTGTAGATGAAAAATAAATGCCTATCTGAATCAAAATTATTTGTAAACATTTAAATCGTTAAAATAATGTTGGTGTTGTTGTTGGTTAATGTTGTTGTGATAGTGTTTAAATTATTATTTTAAAAATTTATGCAGTGAGGCAATTGTAATTTATAAGAGAACATTTTGTTTGTTTATTAGGCAAGACTGTTTTATACCTTGTTTAGTGAACCCCCTGCTTGCCAATAATGATGATTTCTAATGAAAATAAAATTTTATTTTTATTCAACTAGCGCACTAAAAATGGAAATTTCAGAAAAAAAGTAAAAGTTTTAATTAAGTAAAATTAATTGTTACTTTCATGTCCAGAATTTGAAATAATTTTTTCGTGAGGGTATTTACTATTTACTATGGTAAACAGTAAATAATAAAAATTTAATATATAATATAATAATAAAATGAATTTGTAATGTATTCTGCCATTTAAGTTTCCACCACTGAGGCTTTGACAACAATCTTTCAGATCATCCTTATTTTTATTTTCTATGGAAAATAGATAGTTTTTTTGAAATAAAGCAAATATTAAATTTTTTTATGAGGCTCCAAAATTTTATGAGTGCGGGACATGAAATTATCAATTAATTTTATTTGGCCTTATTAGGTTATCCCCATCACAATATTATATTTTATTTACATATTATATTCAAAATATATTTGATGTATGCCAGTGCTGATTATTGAAAAGTGTAAAATTGTGCACAGTGTAAATTTTCTGAGTATTACATTTTTTGGAGTAAATATAATGCTTCTAATATAAGTGCGGCAACTGGCTCATTGTTGATGTAGTCTTTATTTACATATTCTGACCATTTAAAAAAAAAATTTATGTTGAATAGATTTTTAAAAATTCCATTGTTTTTACACTTCAGATCACAATACAACTGAGAAACCCCAGCAGATCAAAGGTCAAACTGCCACAATTGATGGAATGTGGACAAATGTTAAGTTTGAAGAAGCATCATCACAAAAGCATATACCACTATCAGCTGTTAACTATCCATCATCACCAGTCAATAGAGGGTGCTATCATGTTTCAGCAGATGATGCAAGCACACTTCAATGCAAGACAGACAGATATGACTTGAATATTATGAACCAGCATAGTGTATTGAACTATGACAAGTGCAGTAGTAACAGAACCATAGAGGCCAGTCGTGCAAGAGTTACAAAGCACAGTAAGATTCAAACCAACGAGGGAAGCAGTCATGTTATTGATAACAAAAGCTCTCGCCAGGCTTCAAATGATAGTATTGACATATTTGAATTAAGTTCATATAATTCAAGAGATGAAACTAATGCCTCTTATATAATAAGTGATAATTTTCATAGAAATTCATCAAATCAGAAAATTCATGAAATTGACAATTCTGAGAATTTTGACATACACTCAGTGCAAACACCAGAGAATGAGAATGTTCTTATGAAGTCGAATGTGGATGTAGTGACTGCACTGATTCTTCAGAATACGAGACATCAATCTATTCTTGAACGAGGTTTTAAGAATGTTTCAACAGAAAATGAGAAAAGCTCGGAGATTCTACCTAATGGTTCACAATCACAGACTTGGTCAGAAAATTTTGGCATGATCCACCAAAGTGAGCCCTCTAGTGAAACATTGCTCAGTGAAGATTATTCTTTTAGAAGTCTCAGGTTTACTCTTGACTCTGAAGAACAAATCTTGAAGCTGCAGGAATCCTGTATTGATTCTGAGAACCTGAAAGACAAATTGCATGAGTTCGACAGTGAGGAACCCATCTTAAAGTTGCCAGAATCTTGTCTTGAATCTGAGGACTTAAAATTACAAGAGACTTGTGTTGAAACAGAGAGACCCAACATAAAATTGCAAGAATCTCTTCTTGACTCTGAAGAACTGATGTCAAATTTGCAAGACTCTGGTTGGAATAATAATCATATACTCCAGAAGAAACACACTAGTAGACAAAAGAAAGATAAACCACATTTTGGAGATTTTTATCAACTTGATTTTACTCAAGAAAAAGGTGAATATGGTAATATGAATAAAAAAAGTCCTAATTCTCAACACAACACCACCATTGATTCATTGAACGAAATTGACCATAACTTTAGTCTTTTAAACTCACTCGAACTGGTTGAAGATTCACAAGGTTGTTTACAAGTTAAAGGAAGTTAATGCATAGAGTAAGTGTATTCTACATGTCAGCATTGTGGAGTCTCGCAAGTTCATAAGGAAATTTCAAGCGAGATCACATTAATCCTGGTTACTTGAAGACACTATATATTGTGGTTTGTTTAACCTGTGATTGTGATGAATTCAGTGATTTGTTTCAGCAGAGGGGTGTCAGTGATTGGACTTAAACCTTGACTCGAACCAAACAAAATATTTCATTTTCATTATTGGCACATTCATTCATTCGAAAATGAAATTATCAGATTCTCTGTTGGGCATCCTGCTTCTCATAAATGAATATCCTAGGAAGATATGCCTTTTGATTGTTCTGAATATGTATGTAGTGTGGGAGTTCGATTGCAAGGCCTGACACCTTGTGTTATTGGGCAAGGCATGTTTAAATAATATGTTACATAAGATTATATAAATGAATCCTGTACCAATGTAAAAAGTGAATGGTTTAAAACTCCCTGTTGCTCTACGAAAAAAAAAATTCACAATTCTTATAATACATTCTGTATTTAATGAAATAATGTTATCAAAAATGTTATTAAAGTTAAAATAAATGTATATAAATTTTTAAGCAAATATTTATCATGAAACACAAAATTTCATAAATTATATGAATATTTTAAAGCTAAATTATGTTTTGTGGGAAAATAAATATTTACTTTCCATGTTATGGTTTTAACATTAATAGACTGGGGCTCATTCATTTCTTTACATAAATGTGATTCAAATTTTATATATTGTGTTTTCTCACATTTTTAAAAATCTCCAGCTGATTAAAACTAGGCCTAAACTGATATAAATTATAAAATAGGTTTCAGGGGTTGGTTATTGTTCAATTTTTCAATATCTTATTTAAATGTACATTTAAAAAAATAAAGTTGTTGATGCATGCAAATAAGCAACTAAAATGTGCAGCCCAACAGACTATACAGCTAAACTTGCCTAAGTCGAATAAATTCTTAGTCGATCTTATTTACATGCCAAATTGTTGTGTTTTCTATTACAATCTGTAAGTCAAATTTTATATAAGTCGAACAATATTTCAATGGAATTTTGGATTCGACTTAGGCAAGTTCAACTGTATTGCTTATATACAAAAACACTAAAAAATATGGAAAGTATACTGTATAATTAAGTACTCTAAAAAATATAAACATGAAAGAATAATGCAAGCAAAAATTTTTGATATGAATAGAAATTTATGAAATATAGAATATGTGACTGAATCTTAAATGTGTAATTCAGTTGTCATTTTGTCATGGTTTACAACACATGCTGGTCATTTACCAACTCGGACAACATTGTACTACTAAACAGCCTGACAATTTATTGTTGTATCAGGTCTGTGAGGTAATAGATGTACAGTGCAAGTATTACACTGCTTAGGCCTAATTGAGTTTTATCAGGCCAAAATAGCTTGCATCATTTCTGATGTCCACAAAACTGTATGGAAGCACTGACTTGACCCCAACTTTGTCCCCAGACTCAAGTTGGGCAATACCATATGATGTACAGGAGCCAAACTTCTGCGCTGCGACAGCTCGTTGTCCGCTGCACTTCAAGTAAGACTTTCCATTGATCCTGGTTTCAGCTGTGAAGAATGCTTTGTTGTCGTAGAATAATATCTGAAATTGTAAAATATAATGTGAAGGACAAAGCACACTAGTAACCTAAAAAAATGGATGAAATAAGTTGTATCCATCAACCAATGAGAAAGATTGAAACAAATACATTTC